GGCAGGGGGAAACACAGTGGCCTCAGCATCTCTGGTCCAGAGGGTCCCAACTGTGGCAGGGGCTGCCCATGAAACTTCAAGGCTGGATGGTGAGTGGGCAGCCCCTGCCACAGCCCCATTTCCTTCTCCAGGTGCCTGGGATGGCCGCCAGGGTCCTGCTGCTCCTGGGCGTGTGAGCAGGCCAGGAGGCAGTTCCTGCTCAGGGCCCCCTGTGTACCCCGTTTCAGTCGAGGTCAGTTTGTACCTCCCTTCGCTGGGAATGGTAGAACAGAGCAAGTAGATATTCCCCGTGACCTGAGCCTTCTGGGGCCGACATGGCTTCCCGTGGGCTGCCGGCCTGGCACCGCTGAGACAAAGCCAGTGTGTCTGGCCGGCAGCTGCTGCCTGTTCTCTGAGCACCCTGCACTGTGACCTGGTGGTCGTGGCTGGGCCTGGGGACCCCCAGGCTGGCAGCAGCCTCTGTGTGTTCCCAGCCTGGTCTCGCCCCAGTTCCAGCCTCCTTGCTTTCTAGAACCCAGACTTGTTCATGCCACTTTTCTGTGCAGAAACCTTTGCTGGGCCTGCGTGCCCACAAAAGAAGGCCTATAGCCTGGGCTGGGCTCCCACGGTTCCAGGGCTTGTCCTTTGGGTCCGAGTCCTCACCAACACCCCTCCCCTGCCTGCCTCCTGACCCCGTCCACTGTGGTGCCCCTTCCTCCGTTGTTCTGGCCGTCAGGATGCAGTGGTTCCCTGAGAAGCCAGACCCCACGGCCAGAGGGGGCCTTGCCTTTAACTGACTGTGTCTTTTCTCTACGGCATGTCCCTGTGGCTCCCAGCACAGGCCTGGGCCCTGCAGTTCAGGCCAAGGCACTTCTGGCTGTGCCAAGAGGGATGTGGCCAGGAGCTGGGTCTGGGGTGACACTCACCCACTGACACAGCTCCTTTTGACTTTCCCATCTCTACCTCTGTGAATTTCCCTCCCACCTGGTGCGGTTGGCTGTGTGGTCATTCCAGGCCCCAGTAAAGGTAGGGGCACGCTCTGTCTGTGAACACTCTTGATTTGCCCGGGACTCCAGAGAAGGGCGAGGGGCTCGGCCAGGGAAGTGGAACTGTCCTCTTGGGATCTGCTCAGGAGATGCTCCCCACCGTCTGTGTCCAGTTGACAGAATGCTGACATCTGGGCCCCAGCTCAGGGATTCTAAGGCAGTGGGTCTGGGCTGGGCCCTGGGGGTCTGCATTTCATTGGATTAGGAGCCACTGCTCCAAGCTGAGCCCTGTGGGTTCTTGCCCAGCAGAGAGGTGGCTGCTGAGGGCGCCATGCTCCCCCTCACTCGGGGTACCCGCCACTGTGCCATGCACATGGGGCCTGGTGAGGGGGTGGGGGGCACCACCATCTTGGGAGCAGGGGCAGCTTTTGCCAGGCTTCAAGCAGACCCGGTACCTTTACGGAGTCCCTGCCCTGGATTGAGGGTCCCGTGGGCACACCGGCATTCCTTGGCCAGTAGGGACCCCGTCCAGCCCCTCAGGTCACAGGGCAGGGGCCATCTCAGAGGTCGCATCTGGCAAGACCACTTCAAACCACAGGCTTTCGGGGCTAGACCCAAGGAGCCACAAGGGGAGCATCTGAGAAGGGCAGGTGTATGGCCGTGGGGTGGCGGCCTCTCCAGAATAGCCTTTCCCGGGGCCGCTGCCATCATCGGGGAGGTGGAAGTTGCTCGCCTCAGTCCTGACAAGCCATGGCTTCTCCGCACTTCAGTGTTAGCCTCTGTAAAATGGGCGCAGGACTTTGGCTATCATCTGCAGGAGGCCTTGCTTTGCTGTGACACCTCCCGAGCGCTCTGAGTTTGTGCCGGCACTGAAGGAGGACCACCTCAGAGCCCTGGAGGGAAGGACAATGCTCAGCCTGTTCCGGTGAGCCGACAGAGATTTCCAGAGCTCTTTTTCATTAAAAACCAGCTTCATGAGATTGCTAACCCAGAACTCACTGGAAGAACAAAGTACAAAGGACTGAATGAGCAACGGGGAACTTCACTGAGTTCTGCACTAATGTCATCCAAATCCGTAAGCAGTGCAGGGACGTCTGGATGGGAGTCTGTGCTTGCCTGCCTGGCCTTGGGGCAGCAAATGACAGAAGCTCTAAAAAGTGCAGCTGTGCAGTCTAGTGGGGCAAACTCAAGAGGGTCCATATTGCACACGGGTGCTCGGCTGTCCCCAGGCACACCATCCAGCCAACCTCAGTGAGGCCAGCCTTACTCTGTGGTCTAGAAGGACCTCTCTCCACGGTCGTTTCTGACAATGGGCTGGGAGGCAGAGAGGAAATCTGGAGTAAGTAGGAAAGGTTATGCAGGGCATCTCCCATGGAAAGTCACGCTGCATTCATCTGTAAATTTGTCTCAGTGCTCCTGCCCTGCAGCGTGTCACCATGGTTCTTTGCCTTTGAAACTGGCTGTGACATCTTACCAGTCCTGCATTCACCTAATAAGTTAGGTGAGAATCTGTGATATGTGATCCCTGTGCATCTGTGTGAGCGTCATGCTTTTACCTTTCTTATCCAGTCAACAGGCATTTAGCAGGGTCAATGCAGGGGAGAGGCTGGGAGGGGCCGCACCTCAACCCCAACAGTGGCTGGGACAGAAGCATTCTTCGCCAGGTGTCTGGACCAGCTCCCAGCCTAGATCGGCAGTTCCTGGCCGTGGGCAACCAGCCCAGCCCTGCAGAAATGCTTGGTTGGCCTGGGAAGACCCCCCAGGCAGCCAGGAGGGCACAAGGCTTTTTGTTCACTGTTGCAGCATTTTGCAAATCCTTTATTACATATTCAGAAACAAAGAACTTTTGTTCAGAAAAAAGTGTTGATAAAATTAAATTTAAAAGCGAGATGTGGCAGCATAAACATTAATGGAAAAATACACTTCTGCCCAACTTGCGGCAGATTAGGCCTGGAGCCCCTAAGTACAGGTGGACACAGGAGGTGTGCAGGACAATGTTTTGCCACACCTTGTCTGGCACCTATGTTACTGCAGCACTTCTTCAAATTACAATATAGAATTTCCAGAGCTTGAAGAAAGAGCATCTAACCCAGCTCCTCTGCTTCCATTGTTTCTTGGGTAGGGAACTACCCTTCAAACCAAACTTCCTCGTGGTTCGACTGGCAGTGCTGTGACATAAACCAACACAAGAGAACACACGAGAGCTTGGGGGCCGCGTGCCCTTGCACACTGATCTTCCTTCTCGTTCACCAGGGCCTGTGAACATCAGGGGGAGTTAACTGTGGAGTCTGGGCCTTCCTGCGGCCTGCAAGGCTGAGTGCCTGAGACTCACTGAGAGGACCACAAGAGACCCATCCTAAGGGATGCCCACAAGGAAACTGAGGCACACAGAGCTAAAGAGGCTAGTCGGCATCGTGTCCCAGGCCACTCTGTCTGGTGCACACCCCTGACAACATCTATGACTCCAGGCTGTTCACACATCTTTGGCGTCTACATTCAAACCAGCCTCCTGCTGGCGATGTTGTGGCAAGAGCTATGAGTCGGGGAACTGGAAGTCCAGCGCTCACTCCTGCCAGTTACCCCTTCTGTCCACTGGCTCCTCTTTCGCACACTCCTCATGGGCAAGACTGAGGAGCACATGCAGCCTCTATGTGCCATTCTGTACTGGGGTTGGTCGCATCAGCTCCACCTGCCTCTCAGGGCTGTGATGAGCAGCATGTGACGGAGCATGTTTGGAAGGAATCACCCAGACCACCACCCTTTAACACAAAATTTAATGTCGTGCCGCAGCTGCCCAGGAACCCTGCAGTCCCTGCTGGCTCCAAGGTCCCTGGCTTTGGGTGCATGCCTCCAGGGCTCTCTGAGACGCCAAATGCACACGGACAACGTTTTGCCACACCTTGTCTGGCACCTATGTTACTGCAGCACAACTTCAAATTACAATATAGAATTTCCAGAGCTTGAAGAAAGAGCATCTAACCCAGCTCCTCTGCTTCCATTGTTTCTTGGGTAGGGAACTACCCTTCGAGTCCAGAAAGGCAGGAATGGAGGTGTGCGGGCAGGTGTGTTGGGGGGTGTGCGGGCAGGTGTGTTGGGGGGAGGCATGCAGGCAGGTGTGTTGGGGGAGGCGTACAGGCAGGTGTGTTGGGTGTGGGAGGAGGTGTGCAGGCAGGTGTGTTGGGGGTGGGAGGAGGTGTGCAGGCAGGTGTGTTCAGGGGGCGATTCTGCTGCTTTGTTGGGACTGATCAACAGTAAACAAGACAAGGAAGAGAGATGGTGTCGCTGGAGCACACACAGGCGGACTGCACTTGTACCTTGGCAGGACAGGCCCTGACCCATCCCTATTGGGGGCCCAGGAAGCGGGAACAGTGCCCTGGTCAGAACTGCACCTTCCAGCCAGGTTGGCCAAGTGGGGCACCTTTCTGATGGACGTCCTCTAGTTCATAGCAGAACCCAGGGACTGCAGTGAGCAGCCCCCACCGATCACAGTACAGGGCACCTCCACCAACTGGCCGTCCTGGACAGGCAGCCTGACTGGACAGGACCCATCACCTTTCCTTACGGGAACTTTACCAAGCACTTCAGAGCTGGTGGCAATTGAGCACAGGGCCGCGGGGAATCTGTCCTGGGCCAACCACACTGGCTCACTCATGATGGAGGGACAAGGGGGAGGTGCTGACCACAGGGGCCTGGGAGGGAGCAGAGCAGAGCAGGAGGTGCTGGCCCTGCCTGGGCTTTCTGGCACCCCGGGTCCTGGGGACCGTGGCAGCCTAATCACAGCCTCTTGGTGAGACCCCCTCACACCCATCAACCCCAAGCAGACCCAGAGCTTCCTGAATTGGCACAGGACCATTTCTGTTTTTAGGTATCGAAAGCATCACGACCAATATGCTTAGGAGGACAGGCTGGGAGTTGTGGGGCAGGTGGTGGAAGGGCTGCCAAACCTGAGTCCAGGTGGCTCTGGGCTAAAGAGACAGGACGGGGCAGTTTCCAAAGGACTGGGGGGGACCTCTCTTTATCTTTGAGTGCAGAGGCCTCTTCCCGGGATGTGGTTCCATTGAGGAAGTGCCCGGTGGCTCTGTGTTCTCTGTTGTGTCCCTGGACACCCCATTCAGAGGCTCACTGGGGGCAGAAGGCAGGCAGGGGCCCTTCAAGCTCCTGTCTGCAGCCACACATTGTGCTGTTTTGGTCCCAAAAGGCAGGAGGACCCATGGGGTCTCCAGATAATGGAGTTTCCTGCTGTGAGGTCAGGCGGGTGAGGACCGATCATCGCTGGATGGGAGCTCCCAGAGGGCACTCTGGGGTCTTTCTGTGAGTCGAAGCACGGCCAAAAGGGGTTCTCAGTTCCCTGGAAGAGTGTTCAGCCAGGATTTTCCTGTGGGAATGCAGCTGTCCACTGAGGTCTGAGCGCATAGCGCGGGTCAAGAGGGGCTTCGGGAGGGAGTTCCCAGTGAGCGGCGAGGGCTGGCGCTCTGCGGCGGAGGCATGTGCGCACTGCCTGGAGAGCAGGACACAGGCCCACACCAGCAAGGCCATGGGGTGGGAGCTCCAGGCTCCAGCAAAGCCAGCAGGCCGGGAGGTACTCACCCACAGACTGGGGCAGCCCCAGCTGTGCTGGACCTTTCCGGAAGGTTCTTCCACCCACTTGCAGGGCTTTGTGTCCACTTCCCAGTTCAGACTGTGGCCTCTACCCCAGCTCTCTGGGCTCACTGCGGTGTGTCTTCCTGAGCCTGAAAGGTGTGATATGAAGCTGGATGGACCCCATTCTCCAGCAAGAGGCCTGTGGAGACCAATCCTTCAATTCTGCAGCAGATTCCATCCAGAGGGAAGCTGCCAGAACTGTGATGCCCCCGAGTTTTATGCAGCTTGGCTCTAGCTGTGGCCCTGGAGAGGGAGGGGCTGGTGTGCAGGCTGCCCTGGAGCCTTGACCTCACTTCTAGCCCTCCACACCCTTGGCCATGGTGCGTGGCTGGCCCAGCACCTGCACGGATGGCCGGGGCTGCCGTGATTGTCTGTGTTCAGGCCTAGAGGCTTCGTGAGCGGGGCCTGCAGCCCGAGTGGGCCCAGCATGGGGTGGAGGCTCAACCCCATCTGCTCTCTTTTTATTTCTTGCCTTTCCCTTTTTTAAGGCAACGACTGATCCAGTAGGCGTGTGGGGTGAACAGCCTGGAGCTGGAACTCTGAGTCCCCAGGCAGGCAGACGGGCCTGGCTGCCTGAGGAGAGGGCGGTCCTGGGGAGGCAGGGTGCCCGGGGTCCTGAGGGGCCTGGCAGGGATGTGTGAGAATACGCGGTTGCAGGGTTCATGTGGTCTCCACATGTCACAGGGATATCACTGTCCCGGCCATTTCGGTAACTATTTAATACAAATGCACTTGGCAATAGCTACTGAGGAAATTAGGACCTCTTCTGGGAATTAGGTACCTGGGCAGGAGGCATAACAACAGAGCAGAGCTCCACAGAAAGCAGGGCACAGCCAGCCCCCATGCCCCTGAGCACCTCCCAGGTGGGGTGCAGAGTGTTCCTCACGTCCTCCATGCTAGACCGGAGAGCAGACCCCGAGCTCAGGTTCCTATTTCTATTTGAGGCACTTCCTGCAGCTGCTGAGAACATTTCTTTCTGGGTCTGTCAAATTCGAGTTTGGTTTGGCATAAAGTCGATCACCACGAGAAATAATGGGTTTTTCACGTGGCTATTTGTGATGCCACATTAGGCAAAGCTCCAAACCCTGCCTTAAGGAGACAACAAGTGGGAGGTTTAGGCTGGGGTTGGGGATGGCTGGAGGTGACCCCCCGGAGAGCAGGTGTCTCCGAGAATTTGCTCTGTGAGGCAGAGAATCAATCTTCTTCACCAAGGAGATGATCTCACGAAGCTGGGAAATCAGGGTGGCATTAATTTCCTTTCCAAATCACTAAGGAATTGTCGGCCCGGCTCAGTCATGCTTCCAGGGTGGCTGCTGTACAACATGTGATGGCATCGCTGTCCTCTTGTCCTGCTGACATTGACTGGGAGATTTTTATGCACCTGCCTTAGCAACGATTTTCACAGAGCTTCTCTGAACTTAGAGTAACGAATCTCCAGCAAAGTTTTCCCCATTATAATTCTTCTACAGTCTTTGCCCCCAAGTGGTTTTAAATGATAAGCACCTGGCCCTGTGGGCATGCCACTGTCCTCAGGGGTGAAAGGAGGGAAGGCGCCTTCTCCCCACCGCGGTGCCCCTCCCGGGGGAGGGGGCGATCCCTGCTCCTCTGTGCTTCCCGCTGTGGCCAGCCCTGCTGTCCCTCCTCTGGTTCCTTAGAGCTGGACGCCTTCTCCAGCCTTGTCCACGTCTGGCCGTCTCACTATATTCATGTTGGCTATGCCCTCAGCCCCCAGGCAGCTTAAATCTCAGCATTAACACTTTGTCAAATTCTTATTTAGTCTTGTAACTTGATGATGATATTTATTAATTAAAAATGTCAAATGACAGAAATCTACCCAACCAAACTAAGGGTCCTTCCTGACTTCTAAAAATGGCCACACTGGCCTCCAAGAAAATGAAGGCGAATACTCAAACTAGCAATAATGAAAGAGTGATGGACTGCTCAAATCTGGAAGCCACCAAGATGCCAAACACCCTGTGGTCCGTCCACATCGTGAGATGCTACTAAGCAATAAAAAGTAATGAATCATTGATCTACACAACACCCGGGACCTGGGATGAGCCTCAAGGGATTAATGCTGAATGCGTAAGAGCCAGGCCCAGAAGGCTGCATGTTGTGTGATTCCATTTACAAGACATGACAAAATAATGGTGATGGAGAACAGATCAGCGCTAGCCAGGAGACAGGGATGGGGTGGGGGAAGGAAGTGGGGGTGGGGGAAAGGGGCCCTGCTCTGCTCCATGACTGGTGAAGGACACGTGTGGCACAACTGTGCAGAACTCAACACGCACTCAGCTGGGCACAGTCAAACGGGGGAATCCCAATGAAGTGGACGATGGGCTCCCTATCAATATTGCTGGTCGAGATTAGGTCCAAGCAGTTTTGCAAGATGTCACCATTGGGGGAATCTGAGCAAAGGGTGCAGAGATATCTCTGCATTAGTTCTTAACCTATAATTATCCCCAGGAGCTTGTTTCAAATAAGGTGATGACACCACCTCTGGCTGCCAGGAATGTGTGTCCACATAGCCTTGGTGAAAAGCAATTTGGCAATACGTGTGCCCTTTGACCCATAATCCCATTTCCAGGAATTGCACTTTAGGAAATAATAACAGCAAACCTAATAATATGAGCATTTATTAAGTTACAGGCACCGTTCTGTTTTCCATGAGTCAGCTTATCTTTGCAGGGAGCCAGTCACCTTCCAGAATTTATGCCCAAACCGCTGCCCAGCGCTGCCACTCTGCAAAGAGGCACACCCAAGTGTGTTCCTCTTGCGTTATTGCAGAGAAATGGGAATGGGATTTCAGCTGATCATCTCATACACAATGATTCTTTTAGTAAGTCTCCATGATGTAACGTTGTATAATGCTCTTGAAGACTATTAAATGTCTCCTATACAATGACTACATTTTAGTAAGTCTGATGTAATGTTACATAAGCATTAAAATCATATTTCTGAAGGCTATTTAATGCTACATTGAAAAATATTGTTCATGTAATGCTGAGTTAAAGTGATCAGGATAAAAATTATGTTAAAAAAGCTACACACACTACAGACACACACCTGATCATCTACATTTGCTCTCTTACAACACTAAACTATGTTTTTTACCTTTATCTTGCATCTACCTACCACTTCAGCATTTTATTAAAAAAAATAATAATAATAAAGGGAGAAATGTGGGATCCACATATAAATCAAGTATAAAAATCGAACGAATATTCATATTTGACCTGATTGTTTATAGTTCATAATGCGTGATCAAAACCGAAAGTTTCTGTGATGAATGCCCTTGTACTGTTCACCATGTAAGAACTTATTCACTATGTAATAATTTGTTCACCATTTAAGAACTTGTTCGTTATGCTTCAGAAGATTGGAGACTGACGAGAATTAGGCTGGGGGTGGATTAATGATTGTGCATTGAGCATTGACTCCCCTATACAGAATTTTATTGTTGTTAACAACCATTTGATCAATAAACATGAGAGATGCCCTCTCAAAAAAAAAAAAAAAAGCTACACACACACATATGCACCCATGCTCACAGGTGCAAACACCAGCAGGACAGGTCCTGAAATGTTAGTAGCAGTTCCACTGTCTGGTGGGATAATGGGCTATTTTATCTTCTTTTTTATACTGCTCTGCATTTTTCAAATATTCCACAATGAATATGCAGGGGTTTTATAACCAAGAAAGTTATCCAAATCTTGATGCTGAGATTCGTAATTGCTAACAGAACTAGCTCATGAACATTTAGCAGGTTGTGCTACATTTACATAAAATTCTTATGGGAGAAAAAGGTCTTTACCATTTTTGTTTGGAATGAATACTCTTTGGCATTAAGTCAAGTGGATGAGAAAATTAAATGACAGTTAGCCAGAGGGCAAAAATCAGAATGTAAATAGCATTTAGGCAGGAGTGGGAGGAACGGGCTCCTGAGGGGGAGGTACCACCAGGGCATCGCAACGTGGGGGCGGGGAATGGCAGAGACAGGGCGGGGGCAGAGGGGCAGGAGTTGGGGGCACCGAGTGAGGCCAGGTGATGCCTGGGATGGAATGAAGAAGGTTCCGAGGTTCTGTGCTGGCCGTGGGTAGACGGGCCAGGCAACCTCATGGAGACCAGAAGGCTGGAGGGTCCCACGTGATCCCGTGACCCCAGGCCCCCAGGTCACGCAGGCGGGAAGCTGCTCCCACCCCTACAGCCAGGCCAGACTCCCTACAGGCCAGGACTTCTTACTAAAGAATTTCTAAAACTCCAGACCCCATCTGAATGGCCCGCAGATTCACATCTTCCAGCTCCGCTGAAGTGCGGTTTTGAGTGACCAGGAAGGGTGTGGAGTCCTCCCCTCCTCCCCAGGTGGCTGCAGCGGGTCTGAGCCCAGACTAGGTGCGATGGGGAGCCTCACCCAGTGCTGTCCGGGGGCGTGGGGGGTGGTGCTGGGCAGTCCTGGCCGCCCGGAATTCAGAGGGCCTTCCTCTAGGGAGGTCTGCTTCAGACCCTGTCTCAAAGCAAGCACTCTGTATATCTGAGGAGTGACACGTTCTTTGGGGTCAGGTTCCCCACAAGGCCACCCACGACTGCTGCCCTAAGAAAGAGGGTCCTATAGGTGCCCGATGGCGGGCAGGGTGTAGGGCCACACACGGTCCTGGCCAGGCCTCTCCTCCCGCAGTGTTTTGGGAGCCAATGAACCCGACTGAAGCTAACCGAGGCCGAGACAATGCGAGGCTGCGGCTGCCATCCTACACCCCCAGCTCCAAACGTGGTGCTCACCCCTGGACCGTCTTGCTTCCCTCTGATTCTCTGCTGGGTGCTACAGATTTGAATTTGCAAGATAAATGGGTTCTGATCTGTGTCCCCTGTTGATATACACATTATATATTAGGACTGCATTTAAATTTTGTGAAAAAAAATCACTTTAGGTGCTGAAATTCTGCAAATCACTGCCCCAACTCTTTGACCATCAGGGCAGGGGGGACCCTGGCAAGGAGGGCAGCCAGCAGACCGACCCTGGTGAGCAACTGCTCTTGGCAGGCCCCGGGGCAGGCCAGAGCTGTGCTGCCCCAGCTGCCCCACACCCCTAGGATCACCCCTGGCCGGGCCCTAGTGTTGCCCTCTGCTTCAGGCACATGCAGGGTAGAGGGGTGGGTAGCGAGGAGCCAGAGACAAGTTCACGTCCAGCCTCTTACCTGCTTGACCCAGCACGGATGTCTCAACCTTCAGAGGCTCTGATTCTTCACCTGCAAAGTGAGGATGAACACACCTTGCTTGAGGTGTGTCAGGCGGACCCATCAGGACAGAGAGAGGGCCTGGCACACACTAAGTGCTGAGTCAAATGGCAGCTGGGATTATGGGAAGGGCCCCTTGGAACTCTTCCTCCGGACGTGGGGAGGTTCCTCCTCGACCCCTCAAAGGCCATTTGCCCAAGCAAGAGACTTTGAGGACACGGTGCCTAAACTCAGCAAGTCGGCATTGCCGGGCATTTCGGGGGAGTATGGCACAAAAGGGGGTCTTGACTGGGGTGTGCCATTGCAAAGCAGGCCAACTGCTCCGGCCAACCACCCTGCACTGAGTGCCCACCACACCCAGCGGCATCTGAAGTGCAATGAAGGCCAGGGTTCCGTCAGCACAAATGTCTGTCATATTAGGGTCACCAGGTAGGATTAACAAAAACTTCGATAGGTTAATTATCAATTTGAGCTCGCCCTGGTTAGTGTTAGCTTTCCCCCTGTCAGACAAAACAAAGGAAGTCTTTGGAAGATAAGGTCCTCGAGGGCAGGACCTGGGGCAGTTCCTTTAGATCCCAATAGTGGGCACAGGATCCGTCCATCAGATGGGGGAATGCTGGTGCCCGAGCACCCCCTTGTGTGAATCAGCTGGGACCAAAATTTGCATCTGCTGGTTCTATGTTGTGCCACTACTAATGCCAATGCCTCCACCCACACGCCCACCATTGCCACCATCACCACCACCTCCATCATCTCCACTCTCACTGTCACACCACCATCATTGTCACCACTACCATAAATGACACCACTACTGGCACCTCTACCACCACCACCACCAATACCATTACCACTACCACCAGCTAACAGACTGAGCCCACGCTTGGGCCAGAAGCTGAGCCAAGTTCCTTACAAGACCTGTGACCCTGGGTCCTCATAAGCTTGGTGTCGCCATAATCCTCTTCACAGATGAGGACTCTGAGCCACAGAAAGAGGAGGGGCCAGCCTAGCCCGGCCAGTGTGGTCCCGGGTGCAGACCTGGGCCCACCTGGCTCCAGGCCCAGAGATAGATGCATGCTGTGCCCGAAATCGGCCTTGTAACCGTGGTCTGGGCAGGAAGCTGACTGGACTTCCTTGCCATGCTCACTGCTTCCTATGCATTCTGTTCACCCTGGTCTCAAACTGCGGGTACTTCTGATTGTATACTTAGAGTGAATACTGGTTTAGGCACCCCTCCCAATGGAAAATAAACCAATTCAAATCCTTTTCTTCTGCCTACCAGACCATGATTATTTTTTTATAGCCTTTATAAACTACTAAGCTTTTATATAAGCTTCTATAAGCTTTTATGAGGGTTTTTCCTGTCCTCAAAGCAACTTAGAATATTTCAGTCTGGTTCCTGGGTCTCACCCTCCAGCTGTAGGAGTTAGACCCCAATCAGCCGGCCCATAGGACAGCCAAACTCTAACCCAATGGTGAAGTCACGACTTTGCTATCTTTGGGGTAGTTAAAAGGTGACTTTTCATTGCCTTTTCAGTGCCTGAGAATTACAAGTGTTTAATGTATCAAATGAACAAGTTAAAAAGTGACCAACACCAAAATCCTATATTTTATTGTTTATTACTCAAGAAATGAATACATGCTCACCAAAGAAAAAATGGTAGGCTATCTACCAATCTATCCATCTATCTATCTATCTATCTATCTATCTATCTATCTATCTATCTATCTATCTATCTATCTATCTATCTATCATCTACCTATACATATACCTATGTATACCTGTAATTCATCTGCAACTCACCCCTAGTTATACATTTTACATACATATACATGTGAGCACATTGTTCATTCTGTTTTTCTCCTTGTTCTTAGGATACTTAACATTAATGTCACATTCAGAATGGATTACCCACCAGGCAGGATATCATTGCTGCTTTGTTTGCTAAAATAAAATCTGTAATAGGCCTCATTTCCTTTTCTAACTTAGGAGGTATTTTTCTGGTCACTGCATTTGAAAAGAATATAAAATAATAACAGAAACTACCACTTATTACTATGAGACAGGCACATTACATACATATTCTTGAAAAAAAGTTTTGTATAATGGAAATGCTCAAACGTGCAAAGTGGAAGGCGTGTGGAACGAAGCCTCGCTCTCTACCGCCCAGCACCAACAATTATCTCACGAGACCCATCCTGCTCATTTGCACCCCAACTTCTCTCCTGACTGGGATTATTTTAAACTCATTGTAGACATCATAATTGCTTCACCTGTATGTATTTCAGCATGTATCTTGAAAATATGAGATCACTGTCTTAGGGGTTAAGATAGCCCCGCTGTGATTATTACATGGAAAGAAAATTAACAACAGCCCTCTCATTATTTCTCAGGTTGTCATGTTGCTGTGTCTCTAGCCCTAAGGCATATTTTAAGGATCAAAAGTAACATGTGTTTTTCAATAAATAAATGGCAGGAACATAAAGGGCATGAAGCATGGATACAAAGAGATTAAAGAAGGTAGCAAGCAAATGCAGTGTGCGGGCATCGTGTGGATCTTGACTTGAAGTGTGTGTGTGTGTGTGTGTGTGTGTGTGTGTGTGTGTGTGTGTGTGTGTGACAGTCTCCTTTCCTTGCCTTATCATTTATTGCTTGAACACACATTATCTTTGATCCTCAAAGCATGCCTTGAAGGTGGTATTGTTATTCCTGTTTTGCAGATATTCAGGCTCAGAGAGTTAAGTGAGTGGAAGCGAAGAGGGAGGGCAAGTGCCAAGTGTCCAGTGACAAGCAAAGGCAGCACAGGGAGATGCAAAGAGGTTGTGGCTTGGTGCAGGACTCCACTGCCGGGTGATGAAGGCCACGTGTGGGCGAATGCAAAGTTCAGAGGTGGCACATGTACGAAGCTCCACGCAGTCATGGGAGAGCTGGTTTGGGGCATGCACGAAGAGAGGCCCCTGCAGACCAACCTCACTGCCCTGGCAGAGCCTGTAAGGCCACAAAGAGATGGAAAAGCAACCCAGGGAGCCCCTGACTGGCAGGTGGAAAGGCTGTGAGCTGAGGTTTTGAGACCTAACCCAGGTTCTTTCTCCAGCAAATCATGTAGTCCTGGGAGAGTCTCTCAGTATCTCTGAATCAGTCTTCTCATCCTCAAAGTGGGAAGAATGCCAACTCTGCTCCACCTGCTTTGAGGTGCTGTGAGGCCCCTGTGGGGCAGTTCTGCCCCCAGCCCCAGATGCCCAAAGAATCAGCTCATCCCACGGGTGCACTTCTTCCTGGAAGCCTGTGCTGCATGGCATGAAGCCCGAAGCCAGCCTTCCAAGTTCAACTCCCGTCTTGGTCTCCCATGAACTCTGGGATTGTGGGCAAATTCCTTACCCTCTTCATTGCATACTTTCCTCATGTGCAACATGGGGAAGATAAGAGTAGGCTCTATAATAAAATACTCACAAAGATATCTGGTATGCTGCAGGCACTATATAAATGTCTGCTAGGTGGGTACTATCCCCTTTTTACAGGTGCAGAAACTGAGGCCCAGGATCATACAACCAGCACATTGCAGGGTTGGATGCAAACCCCAGTCTGCAGATTCCAGGGCCACTGGGTGAGTAAGCGGGGTGGTGGCGGCTGGCGGGAGAGGGGGTTTGAGGCTGCTGCTCTGAAGTCACCGTGGCCTCCCAGGGCCCATCCCATTACCATTCACCTCCTTTCGGGTCTAGCACACAGGAGGCCCTTGGCATAGGTCCATCAGCAAAAGGATTTGAGGGGCACCTTTGCCTAGAATGCCATCACTTAATTCAATGAAAATGGACAGCAGAATTTGGCGGAGGAGTACAGAGATAGCTGAGGCTCCACTGTAATGTGCAGCTGGCCTGCAGGGGAGGCAGTGAGCACAACAAGGTGCACGGAAGTAAAGCAGGCGTGACGCACCTGTGAGAGAGGGTTGGCCCCCCAAGGGATGTGGAGGCCACCAGAGCAGGGGGACATCAGGCCAGAGGTGAGCAAGGAGCGGCTGCCTTGCTTTGCCCTCCCCCACCAACCATGCTCCAGACCTGTGACCCCACTGGGGTTAGGGAACGGTGATCACGTGAGGAGAGCCTGTGCAGTCAAGGAAATGTGGTGCGACCTGGGCTAGAAACGTATTTACAGTTAAGGGTCTAAGAGCCCTGCAGTCTCCAAATAATGTCCCACCCTCAGATACCCATGCCCTAACCGGGGGGCTGGGCATACCACTTTAGGTGACAGGCTCTGTGGATGGGATTAGATAGAAGATTTTGAGAAGAGATTTCCCCGCAGATTATCCAGGTGGCCCTAAATGAAATCACAGAATCACAAGGCAGGTGGAGGGAGAGCTGGCCCGCACAGAGAGAAGGCCATGTGAGCACGGGGCAGACAGAGCTCTACAGATGCCGGCCTTGAAGGCTGGAGGGTCAGGGCCACAGCCCCGATCTGCCGGCAGCCACCAGAAGCTGGAAGAGGCAGGAATGGACTCTCCCGGGAGCCTCCGGAGGGAGTAGAGCTCGGCTCACCTCAATGCCAGCCCAGTGATGCCGGGTTTGGGCTTCTGGCTTCCAGAACTGTGAAAGAATTTCCGCTGTTTTCAGTCAGGCTGTTTGTGGCAGTTTGTGACAGCTGCCCTGGGGAACTCACGCCCCCTGGGCCCCCATTCTAAGAAGCCTGGGCCTTTGTTGCACGTGGCGGGAGGCACTGAGTGCACACTGGAGCGGGGCCACAGTTGGGGGTGAGGGCAGGAGGGTAGAGCATAGAGAGGAGGCAGCAAAGGCCCAGGTGCTGGGCCAAGGCTGCCAGTCACTCCACCCCCTGGGGCTGGTGTGGGCCTGGAAGGGTGCAGGGAGACGGGGAGGCTGAAGGGAAGAGGCTGGCGATCTGTGGGGTGTTCCTGCCCTTGTTGACAATGTGCAGTAGCAGGAGGCAGTTAGCAGCCCAAACCGTCCAAACAGCCCCTCCAGCTCGGCTCTGGCTGCCTTGCAGCTCAACGGGATTCCAGGGGCCG